TAGACAGAAAACTGCTTCTGCTGATAAATACTGCTAATTCAGAAATGACCATTAGATACATTACAGATTTATGTGATTATGTCACATTAGATTTTGCAAGATGCCCATTTCCAGCTATGACTCTTCCTTGTATCTGATTGTCATTACTTTGCCCTCTCTCCTGCTTTGAGCATCACCATATATAGAAGAGCAGACTGGTTGATTCATAGGACATCTGTGCTGTAATTACAAGATGGTAAATTAAATTACATTGTGAGCAATGGCTAGCCGTGATGGTAACACACACAAGCAAGATTTTGTGACAAGTAGGCTTTTGTTGTTTCAGCATTATTTTTTCTGCCAAAGGAACTATTGCATTACTTTTTTTCTGCCATAGGCAATTCACACAGTGTATTAACTACAAAATAATATATTTTCTCTGAGGGTTTTTGTTTAATGCTCTATCTCTGTCCCTTCTAATTATTACTTACATTTTCCCATCCTAGACTATGCATTAAAAGCTCTTCGCTGCACCACCAAGACTAAAACAAAGAAGAGCTCTACTAAGTGCTAGCTCCAACCACTGTACACCACCCAAGACTAAAACAAAGAAGAACTCAGCTAAGTGGTATCTCCAACTACTCTACAACACCGAAGACTAAAACAAAGAAGAACCCAGCTAAGTGCTACCTCCAACTACTCTACAACACCCAAGACTAAAACAAAGAAGAACCCAGCTAAGTGCTACCTCCAACTACTCTACAACACCGAAAACTAAAACAAAGAAGAACCCAGGTAAGTGGTATCTCCAACTACTCTACAACACCCAAGACTAAAACAAAGAAGAACCCAGGTAAGTGCTACCTCCAACTACTCTTCACCACCCAAGACTAAAACAAAGAAGAACCCAGCTAAGTGCTACCTCCAACTACTCTACAACACCCAAGACTAAACAAAGAAGAACCCAGCTAAATGCTATCTCCAACTATTCTTCACCACCCAATACTAAAACAAAGAAGAATTCAGTTAAGTGCTATCTGTAGCTACTTTACATCGCCCAAGACTAAAACCAAAAAGAAAACAGCTATGTGCTAGCTCCAACTATTCCACATCACCTAAGATTAAAACAAAGAACTCTGCTAAGTGCTAGTTCCAACCACTCTACACTATCTAAGACTAACACAATGAAGAACTATGCTTACTTGTTTATGATAAACAATGCTTTAGAAAACTAAATGCCATCTAGTTAAGGTTTAGACCTCATTTAAAGTCAAAATCCTGTATGCATAATATTGTGTGCAGGACAGTGGTTCAAGATAGAAGGCAGTCATGTGACCACTCAAGCCTTTTTTTCATTCGTACAGTGCTTCAGGCAGGAGGAGTTAAATGGAGGCTTTAGGTCATTGCTGAGATGTGATCTGTTTTCCTAGTAGTCAGTAAGGCTATGTGAATGGAAGTGGGCCAGCAGAGTAACTTCAAAGCATATCTTTTTTTGAGCCACTCCTACCACTGGCTGGTGTCACTAAGTTTGTATCAGGGGTTACTATGGCCACATTAGCATGTAATACCCACAGAGGCTGCATCAAATGCACTTATGACACCCTCTGTATTCCGGAGGGTGTGTCTATGTCAGGCAGCTGCTCTCAAACAGTCTTGTGCGACAATGAGAGTCCTGCTGTCAGGGCATTTATTGGTAACAAACAGGAAGAAGGAGAGGCAACAAACAGGAAGGAGGGGCAGCAGAAGGGAGACAAACAACAAAATCTACAGTTGGGCTTTAAGGTTATTAAATATGCAATAACATTGATTTACTGAAGGAAAATAGACAGTTCACTTTGTAAGAGAAGTTGCACTTTGCAGGGGAGCTTTCACCAGAGCCTAGCAAATGTGGTGAAGCTTTGCTGAGTTCTATTATCCAATCAAGTGCAAGCAAAAATACTGTTCTTTTTATTTACTTTTCATGTGATTGGCTGTTCTTTCCAGAGTAAAATAACACAACATTCAATAAGCTCTGGGGAAAGTTCACTTCCAAAGTACAAATTCCTTGCAAAGTGAACAGCCTATTTGCCTTTAGTAAATCAAGCACAATGTGGGGGAAAAGTAGTTGTGATTTATTGTATCAGTTTGTTGTTCTATGCATAAATATATCATTTTCAGAAGTAGTGTAGTATAATGCCTGATAAATAAGTCTAACATGTTTTGAAAACATACATCTTTACTAACTTTAGTTAGACAGTGAAGGCTATCCCATATTGTACATCCTAAACTTTCTTCATTGATGGATGGTCAATAAAGTGCAATACTCTGGCTCTTGTGTGGCCATGGCTCAAACACCAAACAATTCTAGGTGTCTAAATTCTTTTTTGTGATACACCTTTAATTTACCCAAAAATAATCTCCAAATGTGATATAATAAATAAAACCATAAACCAAATAAATATATAAATAAATTCTCAAAGTCAAAAATAATAAGTGTCCAAATCCCAAAAAATCCCAAAAATTGATGATATCCAAAATATAATCTTTTATCAGTCCAGTGAAGCAAACCGATTCAAAATAATCCTTGGTAACCTCAAAAAAAACAAAAAGAAAAATTCATAGTGTATTACCTTAAATAATTAAATACTTCACTCTGTGAACCACTCCAAACTCACACAAAAAAATTGTGAAAATACACTTAATTAAAATCAATTCATATAATCAATTTAAATTAGATCAAAAACGTGAGAAACTCGTGATCACTTCAATCTCAAGTGTATAGTGATACTAGGTACTAGTACCCTTTCAACTCCAGCCACAAGTGATACTAAATACCACCTGACACTGGTATAACAAGCGATCAAATACACGGAATGGACGAGCCCCGTTCACCGCGTACACCTCGCCGACAATTCCAGGGAACGTCCTGACGTCATCCAATAAGCTCCGCCCTACGCGTTTCTTCACTCTGACGTCCTCACGGAGCCGCTCCGTGAGGACATCAGAGTGACGAAACGCGTAGGGCGGCCCTTATTGGATGACGTCAGGACGTTCCCTGGAGCTGTCGGCGAGGTGTCCGCGGTGAACGGGGCTCATCCATTCCGTGTATTTGATCGCTTGTTATACCAGTGTCAGGTGGACACTCAACTTTGTGAGTAAGATGAGAGTGTAATAAAAGTTAAATGGTTCTTACTTACTGCACCATCATGCCTTTTCTTTATTTTTGAGTGGTATTACTATATATTTGGAGGATGATCGCTATATAAGGAGTCCTGGCCATACCTCAAAGTCACTGCAGAGTATTGCTCCTGATATCTGGAAGTGTCTATACTACAGAGTGTTACTTCATGATCTGCCTTCTCTCATCGCTCCCAGAGCAAACACGCTTGTGCTGATTTATAATTTAATCAGCATTGAGCTCTGGTGAGTTTATTCCATTCATTTGGTGGTGGATTTAGCACGGTGGATTTATATGTTTAAAAAGAATTTTCGTTTAGGGTGTTGGACATTTTTTCTTCACACTTTTATACACCAATTTATGGATTGTTTTCACTGGAGATTTTTTATATATTGTATTTAGGATGTTGGGACTTTTGTACACATATTATTTTTGATATATTTAGCGCATTCCGATTGTTGATTTTTTTATGTTTTACCAATATTTTGGGTTAGAGGTTTGCTGCTGTAGAGGATTGATATTATTGATTGGCGCTTTTTTTTCTTATATACTTACTTGGTAGACTAAGGCGAGAGGAAGGGTATAAAAAGTATGAGCATTATGAAGAGCACATAAGAGTGATAATAACAAGATGTAAAAAAATGGCAGGGTTGTGGAGGAACATCAAGAGTCTATGTAGTAGATCTCAAAACATACTGAAAAGAAACTAGACTGTCCAAATGTATACCAAATCCCTGCCAAGGATCTGCCAACGTCTGCACAAATAAAGCACCTTCACAACACAACCTCCAAGATACACTAAGGGGCCATCAAGCTGATGTACAACTGAGCATCCTAGCCGCCATAACTCCTCTAATGCTTGATAAAGAAGCCTAACTTGTTTTGAAAGCTCACATCTTTACTAACATCAGTTAGCCAATAGAGGCTATCCGCTAGTATACATCCCAATCTTTCTACATTGATCAACAGTCAACACAACACAGTACTCTACTAAAGGATTTAAACAAACTTAGAGCTTTGTGTGGCCATGACTCAAACACAAAAACATTCTAGGTGTCTCATCTGGTAACTCAGATTATTTTTTTTATTCAGAACACTGCCAGCTTTATAAATTGGAACTGATTTTGTTAATAGGTTATATTTTGAGTTCCAAACAGCTCTATCATTAAATAGAATAACTTTGTTTTAATCGGTTCTAAATGCTGCACATTTCACATGTGTTGGAAATGTGGCATGATTAGGAATAGGATCAAAAGTGCAAAACTGGGCATGAGACTTAGTGTAGGAATCCAAATTCTTTCTTACATGACTCTTTGTGATTTCACACTGTTTTACACACATCGTACAGTGTAAGAAAAATTAAAAGCATCTTAGGAATGACCCCACTTCACAAAAGTAAAACCCCCCAAGGAGAAATCTCACACAGAAGTGATGCACCCCCTCCCCCATGAACTCATCCATTGTTACTATTCATCAATATAGCACTGTTGATTTTTAGGAGAGAGAATTAAAAAAGATTAATGTAATGTAACAAAAAATGAGCTTCCAGTTTAAATCAAATGTAGGTTGTGAGATGTAAGGAACTGCAAATAATATACAGAGGACCAGTCATGTTTAATTAAACATATCATTTTATGTACTGATTCATGAAGAGGTCAGCCATCTGGATTCTGTGAAAGGAAATAAATAATATGGAGGTGGGGGTAGATGGTGGAAATGCTTTTTCAGAAATAGTTGGGTGGAGTAAGATTATGAAGTAGTAATCACACTGAAAAGTTGGTCTAGTATAAAATTAGCAGTAACAATTACCGTATTTTTCGCTCCATAAGACGCACTTTTTTCCCCAAAAGAAAGGGGGGAAAATGTTAGTGCGTCTTATGGAGCGAATATGGAGCGGCCGGTTCGGTATTTCCACCGCCGCCGTGTCAGAATACCGGGCCGGCTGCTCAGCTCTGCAGTGGGACCTTATGGAGATGACTGCTGACCTTTGGGGAGGTGGGGAGCGGGTACCTGAATTTGACAGGTACCCGCTCTTACTTCCGCGGAGTTGTTCTTTGACCTTACCTGTTCCTCTATCCAGCCCCGCGCTGTCTTCCCGGCTTCTGTAGTGTCGGCGCTCGGCATGACAGCCGGGGGCAAGTGCGCATGCGCAAGAAGCGGTGCTTTCTGTGAATGGTAAGGTGGTACCTGGGACACATGACAGATCCCAGAAGCCGCCGGACCAATCACAAAGCGCAAGTGCTTCTCGCTCATGCGCACTGGGCACCCGGCTGTCATGCCGAGCGCCAACACTACAGAAGCCGGGAAGACAGCGCGCGGCTGGATAGAGGAACAGGTAAGATCAAAGAACAACTCTGCGGAAGTAAGAGCGGGTATCTGTCAAATTCAGGTACCTGCTCCCCCCCCTCCCCAAAGGTCAGCAGTCATCTCCTGTACTGTCCGCAGTCTCTGGTCATCCCTGTGCTGTCCTCAGTCTCTGGTCATCTCCTGTACTGTCCGCAGCCTCTGGTCATCTCCTGTACTGTCCGCAGTCTCTGGTCATCTCCTGTACTGTCCGCAGTCTCTGGTCATCTCCTGTGCTGTCCGCAGTCTCTGGTCATCTCCTGCACTGTGTCCGCAGTCTATGGTCATCCCTGTGCTGTCCGCAGTCTCTGGTCATCCCTGTGCTGTCCGCAGTCTCTGGTCATCTCCTGTACTATGTCTGCAGTCTCTGGTCATCTCCTGTACTATGTCTGCAGTCTCTGGTCATCTCCTGTACTATGTCTGCAGTCCATTAGTTCAGAATTTTTTTTTCCTGTTTTCTGCCTCTAAACCCTAGGTGCGTCTTATGGTCAGGTGTGTCTTATGGAGCGAAAAATACAGTAGATAATCTGGGATTAGAGTAGAGCAAAATGCAGATTATTTTGCTTTGACAACATTTCATTAAAAAAAAAGGTAGTTTCCACAACATTTCTCCATTAGATGTACAGTGCTCAGCATAAATGAGTACACCCCTTTTGAAAAGTAAGATTTTAATCAATATCTCAATGAACACAAGAACAATTTCCAAAATTTTGACAAAACTGAGTTTAGCTCATTACATCAAAGTAAGGTTATTATTATAACTTAGATTACAAAATCTTCAGTTTTACTCAAATTAGTTGATGCAAAAATGAATACACCCCACAACAAAAAAAACTACTACATCTAGTATTTTGTATGACCTCCATGATTTGCAAGGACAGCACCAAGTCTAGGCATGGAATGAATAAGCTGACGACATATTTCAACATCTCTCTTTTCCCATTTTTCAAGAACGACCTCTTTTAGAGCTTGGACGCTGGATGGAGAGTGATGCTCAACTTGTCTCTTCAGAATTCCCCATAGGCGTTCGATTGGGTTCAGATCAGGAGATATACTTGGCCACTGAATCCCTTTCACCCTGTTCTTCTTCAGAAGTGCAACAGTGGCCTTAGATGTGTGTTTTGGATCATTGTCATGTTGGAAAAGTGATGGTAGCATCTTCTCTTTCAATATACAGAAGTACATCTGTGAAATCATGATACCACCAATGAAATGCATCTCCTCAACACCAGCAGCACTCAAGAAACCCCACAGAAGGACACTGCCACCACCATGTTTCACTGTAGGCATCATGCATTTTTCTTAGTACTCATCACATTTGCCATTTATTCTAGCGCGGTCCTAAATTGCATCGGTATTGGGTAGACATTGTTGAGACTATAAATACAGTTATCCACATTACTGTCCCTATTGAACCTACATGCTACATTTTGGGTATACTAGATGATCTCCCATTAACAGATTTTCAAAAGGCTGCAGTTAATAGGGCCCTGTTCCAAGATCGCAGGCTTATTCTCCAGCATTGGAAATCTGACTGCACAAAGAGCGGTTGTGTATGTGGGTGATACTCTTAAATTAGAGAAAATTATTTTCTAACATAGAGGCTGTCCAGGAAAATTCAACAAACTATGGAAAGACTGGTTAGCAGTTCTGGGCCTTGTGCCTACTGAATTAGTTATGGACTGGCTATTGATTTAATTGCTTAAGGGTATTGTTGTCTTTTCTTATATCTGTGGTACCTTAATGCCTTGGAATGCACTTTATTGTTTCAATTGGTGTCTGTTCTCATGTATGTTTAATGGATGTACCTTAATAAACGTTATTTCTGATTCAGATGTGAAATAAAGAGAATTCTTAGTTATAATTGGCAGTGTCCCTTTCAAGAGCTCAGCAATGTCTTATGCATGCTTGTTGGGGCCCAATTGATGTGAAGTTACGTCAAGGGGTGGATGGTAGTTCCTTAGGGTGGTCACATCAAAGATAGTGAGGAAAGGGGATAATATTTAACACTTCCCTGATTGATGGTAAAGAATTAGTGCAATGTTCCTTTTAAGAGCTCTAACTATGAATTGAACTTGACGTAGTAAATCGCAACAATTGGCATAAATGTCTATGGACAAAGCAAAGGATGCACAATAGGAAGAATCCTGCTCAGCAGAGCTCTAACCATGAATTGAACTTGACGTAGTAAATCGCAACAATTGGCATAAATGTCTACGGACAAAGGCAAAGGATGCACAATAGTAAGAATCCTGCTCAGCAGAAAGGGAAAGGGACTGGTTGATTCAGTTGGCACTGATGTCTTCATCTGTAACTGTATATCCTCTTCCTCAATGTTCCTTTTAAGAGCTCTAACCATGAATTGAACTTGACGTAGTAAATCGCAACAATTGGCATAGATGTCATTGGACAAAGGCAAAGGATGCACAATAGGAAGAATCCTGCTCAGCAGAACTCTAACCATGAATTGAACTTGATGTAGTAAATCGCAACAATTGGCATAAATGTCTATGGACAAAGGCAAAGGATGCACAATAGTAAGAATCCTGCTCAGCAGAAAGGGAAAGGGACTGGTTGATTCAGTTGGCACTGATGTCTTCATCTGTAACTGTATATCCTGTTCCTCAATGTTCCTTTTAAGAGCTCTAACCATGAATTGAACTTGACGCAGTAAATCGCAACAATTGGCATAAATGTCTATGGACAAAAGGCAAAGGATGCACAATAGTAAGAATCCTGCTCAGCAGAAGGGGAAGGGGACTGGTTGATTCAGTTGGCACTGGTGTCTTCATCTGTAACTGTATATCCTGCAGTCAGCTAACTGTACAGCAGATGTATTCCAACGATGATGCTGGTATAATGAAACTAGAGCAACTGTATATACTGTTCACAACTATGTGCAGGTAGACAGCTGAGGCGATGAACTATCAATGTTCACTTTGTCAGTGAGCGCATGGATCTCTCTCACCCAATCACTGTGGTTCAGCAGATTACAGCGATCCGTTTTTCCCAATGGATAGGGATAGTCCACGGCCCTCTGGTTCAAAATTGACGTTCCGCTCTGTCTCCTGCTGTCAGAGTGACCTTTGGCAGCATAGCAGGCCAAGCGGTCAGTACGTTCTTTCTGTTCTCTCTCTCTAATCCTGGCTCAGTGGCCTAGTTCAGCACTTAGTTCCTTCAATCTCCCTCTGCACTCTCCTGGGAAATGTAGTCCTAGGCACTCTGCTTATTAGCCAAGTCCTGCTGTTCAGAACTACAAGTTCCTAAGGGCTGTCCTGTCAATGTGAGTAACCCTGAAAGGCCACCGCCATCTAATGTCCACTTTAATGAATTGCAAGTAATAACATTTCAATGAGTTACTCAGAGGAGTTTACTGAATTAAGCAGCCAGAAAAGAAGTCACCTCCCTCTCACACAGTTGTCCACATATTCAATACAAGATCCTTAAAAGTTAATTTAAACATAGTTTGCATACATGCATATACACTAGATTAAGTTCAATTTTCAATTCAATCCAAGCAATCAGATATTGTATGCAGTACCCTGTGGTCCAGAGGAGGTTACTGAGTTAAGCAGTCTTTTTTTTTTTTTTTTCATAAAGTTTATTAATAAACTCAGAGCATACAATAGGTACAGGTAATACAAGGTATCAGTCGGAAATACAATAGGAGGTAATACACATACAGCAAACAAAAAAGATACATAGCAATACATAGGCAAAGAATCAGACGTAAGTCATCCCAGGGAAAAGAAAACAGGGGAAAAATGAGGACATGCAAACGCAGGAACATTAAAGGCATATCTGGTCTCAAGCCCTTATTCAGCATATTGGAATCACAGCACTGGCAGGGTCGATGATATATAACCTCAGTTACTGAGCAGCAGAAAAGAGCAGGGCCAGTGAGTCAAAGGTATGCATTGGAAATGTATACAGTAGGTGTGGAGGGGGGGGGGGGGTGCAAGGGCTTGTAGAATATGGCCTTGTACTTTTGGTGAAACTGAGGTAACCCACTACAGGTTGTCAGCACGTGGGTAAAGGGTTCAGGAAAGGAGATATGTAAAAGTAAAACATATGTGCAGCTGGATTGCAGATAGGGAGTAGGGCTCCTATGTATAGAGAAGTGTACCAAAATGGAAAGGGGAGAATGAAAGCTAAACTCTGAGTAGGAGAGCAAGGAAATGGGGATTAAGAATTTAAGAATAAGCATGAAAAAGAAGGGAAGAGAGGGGAAGAAGAAAAAGAAAAAAAAAAAAGGAGGGTGGGGGGAGGGAGATGGGGGGTTGGGGAAGGGTCGGATGGGGAGGAGGTGTGGAGGAGTAGGAGGGTAGGTAAGTCACCTTTACTCAAGACTCCCAGGACATGAGATACGCGCAACCCTGGCAGAGAAGCGAGCTGGGGACAGTTGTAAGCTTAGCAGGGTGCCAAGCGTAACTTGCTCCAAGCAGTACAGGACATCGAAACAAAGGACCTCAATCGCAACCTTAAAAAAAACAGAGAGCCGATATATCGCCAGAAACACTACGGGGTATCAGAGAGGTTCAGAATCAGTCAGCAAGGAAGTGAATCCAACAGTACCACGTATGAGAAAATTTAGTAGGGTTATCCAGAGAAGAAGCAATCAGCTCTTCCATGTCAGCAGTTCTGTTCAAACGTATGAACCAATCTCACACTGTGGGGTGGTGAACAGACCCCCAGAGAACCAGTAAGCAGAGTTTAGCCACGATAAGCATATGCATAGTGTCAGGCTCCGCCCAACGGGATCTCTAGTGGTCCACGGCACGGGGTTTCCCAGGACGTGGAGTCTAAGTCCCAGTCTGCCTTTTCACCAGGCCCCTGATGGTGGGGATGGACTTGGTGCAAGACTGAAACCAGGTCGCGTCCCTGGGCACCCCCGG